GCTCTCCTTCCTTCCCTCCTTCCTTCCCTCCCTCCTTCCCCCTTCCCTCCTTCTCTTCTTCCTTCCCTCCTTCCTTCCCTCCCTCCTTCCCCCTTCTCTCCTTCTCTTCTTCCTTCCCTCCTTCCTTCCCTCCTTTCTTCTCTCCTGAAGATGAAGATTTTTATTTGCAGTATATTTCTCTTGGGATATTTATTACTGAATGATGATTTCCACATATTTATAAAAGGTTACCAGAAATATCTTTCATAGCTTCTATAAGTGGGTGATCATGAAACATGTGGGAAAAGCTTTATGCAAAACCCCAAAATAAACAAAGAACAAAGGCATGTTTGATTTTTCTGCCCAGCTTCATTCAAAGCATGTTTTTGGCAAAAAAAAAAGTTATTCCTTCCAGTCATGCTAAAAACTGCAGGAATCCAGATGACCACTAGAGGGCAGCAAAGAAATGGAGAACCTTCAATTTTCTGTCCTCTAGTGGCTATGAAGATTAGTGCAGTCAAATCTAGTACCTCTAGAGTGCAGGTAGTCCTCGGTTTATGACCACAGTTGAGCCTAGCATTTCTGTTGTTAAATGAAATATGAGCTGCGTGAGTTTTGCCTCATTTTATGACCTTACTTGCCACAATTGTTAAGCAAATCATTGTAGATGATAAATTAGTAATCCAGTTATTTATTAAGTGAATTTTAAGATTGACTTCTTAATGGTCCATTGACAAAGTGGGGATGGGCAGGAAGCTATAGGCAGCTATTCTGGTCTTTTCAATATTTCCTAGGATATTTCATTTTTTCTGGGAGAGGGATGGGTGCTAAACTTCCTACATAACTATAGCATTACACAATCCAATTCCAGAGGCACAAAAGGACAGGCTGGATATCTGTTCCTTAAGAGCGGTTGAGGATTTATGTGCAGCAGCAGCTCATGCTTTCCTGTAGCTGAAGTGGAGAGGCCTTTATTATGTAAAGTGGACTAGCTCGGCCTTCTTAATGGCCCATTGGCCAAGTGGGGATGGGCAGGAAGCTACAGGCAGCTATTCTGGTCTTTTAAAACACGTTTCTTCCCTTTTCACATCCAGATAAATATTCTGCCTTTTCAATATTTCCTAGGATATTTCATTTTTCTGGGTGATAAAACTTCCTACGTAACTATAGCATTACATAATCCAATTCCAGAGGCACAAAAGGACGGTGTGTTGTTAAGAGCGGTGGAGGATTTATGTGCAACAGCAGCAGCAGCAGCAGCAGCTTCTGACTTCTCCGTGACTTTCTGGTCCACGTTTGGCCGTGCATTGCGCGATAACAACTGTTGTTCATGGATAGGAAAACCCGAGGATCGCGAGCGCAGCCCAGAACGGTCCATCTAGGGCAGTGTTTCTCAACCTTGGCCACTTGGACGATGTCCGGACTTCAACTCCCAGAATTCCCCAGCCAGCTTTGCTAAAGCTTTGCTGGCTGGGGTATTCTGGGAGTTGAAGTCCGGACATCTTCAAGTGGCCAAGGTTGAGAAACACTGATCTAGGGAACGTCAAGCGTTTAAGCGAGGCGTCTTCGCTAAGCCGGGTTTGTCCGCTACAGGCCGCCGTAGCGGAGCCGGCTGGGTGCAGTCATGGCTGCTGTCCGGGGAAAGAAGGGGGAAAGCAGCGGCAATAAGATGAGAGAGGAGGACGGAGAGGAGGACGGAGAGGAGAACATCCTCTACGACTTGCTGATCAACACCGAGTGGCCGCCGGAGTTTGAGGTCCAGGTGGGTCTTGTTCGCGCAGGCATTACTCGCACGTTGGGCGGCGAGAGCAACCCGCCACGTAGGAAGAAGGGAGAGAGGTCGGGTCGTGGGAAACGACCGCGTGTCATTGACTTTCTTTAAGGGCTGCCGCTTGTTTATGCCCGGATCTTGACTTTTGTTGGCCCTGGGGCAAGAATGCCCGCGTTGCAAAAAAACAAAAACAAAACACCTTTGGGTCTCCTGATCTGATGGTAGAATAAGCCACCTTCTCTGCCCTTAAAGACCATGTCAATCAAAATCTCTTTCGGACATCACAATAGCAGGTGCGGTTAATTATATTCTGTTGGGTGCCATTAAAAAATAACCTTGAAAAATCTATGCATTGACAAAAAATTGCACCAGTCAGTTGCAAAAGGCTAACAATGTTCGGATCCACTCTTTACTATGCCTTTACAGCAGTGGGCAACTTTAAGACTTGTGGACTTCAACTCCCAGAGTTCCTCAGCCAGCTTTGCTGGCTGAGGAACTCTGGGAGTTGAAGTCCACAGGTCTTAAAGTTGCCAAGGTTGGAGACCACTGCCTTAACAGCATTCTAGGTTCTTGGGAAGAACATAATGATAGCTGTGACTTCATATTCTGGGGATAATTATTGAAAAATAAAATATTTGTTGCATGTACAAGTCGCCCAACTGCCAGCAGTTCTGGGTGGTTGATCGATTGGTGTTGATTGGGGCCACCAGGTACACAAAATAATAACCCATCTTTAAAGAGATAGCAATGTGATACTGACTTTATCTAGCTTTGCTGGCTGAGGAGCTCTGGGAGTTGAAGTCCACAAGTCTTAAAGTTGCCAAGGTTGGAGACCACTGCCTTAACAGCATTCTAGCTGTGGGAGTCTGGTGGCAGCTCCAACGGCTCCTGCTGGGCCACAACAGTAAAGTATGCCGTTTTGTGGCTTAATTAAAATGATAATTGCTTGCTATGAGACTGCATCTGATTTCTCCCCAAATGAAAGCCCTTTTTTGTCTATTCCTTCTCTTTGTATCTCTATATCTGTATATCATTGCAGGGGATCATTATTACTGGTTATTAGCTAGAGATTGTCTATAGCAGTGATGGCTAAACCTTTCCAGACCTAGTGCCCAAAACTTGTGTAAGCATGTCCGACACCCCCCTCCAAAGCAATGCACATGGCTCCCATGCATGTGACCCCCTCATGCATGCCCCCTGCCCCCTCACAAATGAATGGTAGAGACCCGAACATCAGCTGGCCGGTGGGAAGTGTGTTCGCATGTATGGCGAAGCTGAAATGGGGCAACGGCTTGCATGCCCACCGAGGGCACTACATACCACCTCTGGCATGTGTGCCACAGGTTTGCCATCACGGATCTACAGCTTTTTATTTTCAATCATTCTGTCTTCATCAAGTTGTGATGTTAACTGATAATTTTCTGGTTAGTGGCATTAGTAGAACCATTCTATCCTGAATCACCATAACTTTTTAAAAGAAGAAGAACGCGAAGCAAGTGTTTTGAGCAATGGAGCTTAATCAGCCTTTTAATTGATCAATCATTTTTAAAAAGTTCTTTGTCTCCTTGATTAAGGTAGTTTACTGCATCTGCCCAATGACTCCTTGCTAACTGAAGCTATCAATGCTCTTTTTTATTTTCTTTTTGTTATGCTGAAAACTACATAGCTAACTGTTGTGACTCAGCAGTTCTGCTGAGAGTCTTTTCGGGAGACAAGATTCAGTATGCAGCTGGGGCTTGTGGGAGGCAGGTTTGGAGATAAAAAGATGGATGCTGCCATGCCCTAGTTGCAGGAGTCAACATATGTTCCTTCGTGAGTGCCTTGGTTTGTACAACATTGCTTGTTACACTTGGATAAGTGCTTTGGTGTTTCATGTAAACCCTGATTCGTGGAGACTTTGGAAAAAATGCATTGATGTAAGAGTTTTTGTTTTGCATTCTTGTCGGAGACTTGTATTCATGTTATTTTTGGGCTCGAAGCCAGTTTGAACTGAGAACTGATAAAGAAAGACTTCCTTTTAAGTTTTGTCTGCCTGCATTTGTTAAGAGCCGTGAAGGGGGGACAGAATAGCTAACTTACGCCATTAGGATTGTTTTTGTAGTTTCCACTTAATGACAGTAATATTATGCTTCTTATAGAACAGGGGTGTGAAATTTGTGGCCCGCGGGTCCAATGCGTCACATGCTGGCCCTGCCTCTGTCCAGTTTAGTGAAGGGGGGGGGGAGTCCCGATACGTCATGTGATGCTGCCGTGTCCACGCAAGTTTAACACCCCTGTTATTGAAGAGTGATTCCCAAGAAACAGACCCTTAACAGATAAAAAGAGGACCTATTGCATGAATGGATGAATATGCAGCATTGAATTGTTCTGTGTCTTCTTACCTGGCTCTGGAGTTGAAGTAGTTTCTGAACACCTTTCTTTCACAATTCTCTACAAGAACTTAAGAGAGTAGTAATTGGAAGTAGCATTTTAAAGAGTTGCTTATCCCAACAGTTAATTTACACCCTGCAACAGCTTAAAGGGCTTGCAAATAAAGGACTTACTGAAAACTATCTTTTTGGTCTTACAGCCCAGAGGCAACCAGAAGCATTATGCATCATTTATCATCACAAGAGTGATTATGGGTAAATATCCATCGCTTCCTTATTCAGTAGATTTTATGTGGCTGAAATTAATATGATGTGAACTAATTAATTTTAATCATGGATATGTTTGCCCATTTGATAGCTGGGGCTCTGAACAGCATAAAAAGATTTTTAAAAAACTATTACAAATTATTCACTAAAGTTATAAACTTGTTATTTGATATTCTTATACTGCATCCCGAGCCTAGTGTAATAGTAATTGCATAGTATTTAGAAACAGACTTTGCCTTAATGACTGCCCTGCTTAACGATTGTTCAAAGTTACAACGATGCTGAAAAAAAAAATAACTTTATAATCAGCCCTAGCATTTACACTCATTGCAATATCTCTGTGTTCACGTTATCAACACTTGGGCATTTCACAACCGGTATGACTGTTGCACCATTCCCATGGTCACAGTTTCTGTGCTTTGCAACCAGCTTCTGACAAGCACAGTCAGTTAAGAATCCTGCAGTAAAATAGAAAGTTATGATCATGTCAGAGGTGGGTTCCTACCAGTTCGCACCTGTTCGGTAGAACTGGTTCGTCAAATCTACCGAACCGGTTAGAAGAGGTTCCACCAGTGGACCCGGAAATCAGGCCACACCTACAGAAGAGGTTCCAACATTTTTTGAAACCCACCACTGACACAGACAGACAGACAGATTCACACAGAGAGAGAA